GTCACATGGGTATGCAAATGATTTATAAGCCCAATCTTTTCCCTGAACAATCTGCTGCAGCAGGGGCAGGATAGCAATGAGGACTAGACATGAGAGGTCCTCATTTTCCTGGCCACACACTTTCTTACTGCCCTGGCCACGTGCCACTGCTCGAAGGCCAGTGCTCCACTCTGGACTGATGACTTCCAGGATGGACAGTCATGAGCAAATTGGTCCCATGGCTCCAGGATGATGCCAAAACTCTTTAGGGACATCTTTAGGGTGTTCTTCTTTGGCGCACTGCAAAAGCATACTCCATTTGACAGTTTTTCGTAGAAGATTTTCTTGGGCATGTGTGTGTCAGGCATTCTTGAAAGGTGGCTGGCCCATCTTAGCTGCACCAGTTTCAGTAGAGCATGAATACTGGGGAGAGGTGATCTTCTGAGACCCTCAGTGTCTGGAATCTTGTCCTGCCACTTGATCTTTAGTATCTTTTGCAGGCAGCACAGGTGGAAGTGATTTAGTTTCTTGGTACAATGCTGTTAGATGGTCCAGGTTTTACAGGCATAAAGGAGGGTTGTCTGGGGTGTCTGGGAGAGGTAGCACCTCCAGAGAAAAAGTATGTTATGCATGCCTGAGTGACTCTTCCTCTGGTGGTCCTCACCAGCATCCAAATCTCTCTTGTAGCTCTAAGCAGCTGTCTGCATGCGACAGCGGCCACACCCCAGTCAACTGCCTCAATGGGTAGGCCAAACCAGGTAAGGGTACCCAGTCAGTCTCTAGACCTGTAGGGAGATAGGGACACATCTATCATTGCATGCAAAGTCTGACTCTGGCTGACTGGGCAGACAAGACCCTTGTATGGTCCAATGGCCATGATGGTGGTACAGCAATGTGCCGTGGCTCACACAGAGTAGGACAAGGCACAAAACATGTCCTGGTAATCCACTGCATTTGGGCCAATCCCAGATGTCTTGACACTGTCCTGCCACTGGTTACCAATTGGCTCAGATGAGAGGATGAGGGATGCTACGCACCTCTTCCTCACTCAAATCCAAAACTCATGCAACTCACATCCACATCCAGTCTCATGTAGAGTTCAGATTATGGTTGTATGAGATAGTTTGGATATGGATGATCTTGCCTCAAGCAGGAGGTTGAACTACATGACTTCTGGAGGCCCCTTTCAGCCCTTTGTCTCTATGACGTCTATGACTTCTGTAAAACAAAACTCCATGAAAAGATAAAAAGGGGTAAATATCACATAATGAACTAGACTTCAAAATCAGTTTAGAAAAGACAGAAGCAGTTAGCCATGTTAGTCTGAAGTCAGGCAGAAGGCAGGATAGAGTTATACTTTTTGAATCTCTGAAATATTTAATCTTTAAAATGCAATTTTACACTGCCTTAGAAAAGATGTGACCTTATATACATGTTACTATTTTTAATCTTTCATAACTGTATTACAGACATTTTATTGATTATTTTTACATAAGCAATATATAATTAAAAATACTAACTGACTATCTCCCTAAACTTTCACTCCTGCTCTGACAAGTAGGGTAACCAGCTTATTACATTTGGAACTAGAGGTAAATGTTTCTAATGGATAGGGTAGAATCAGGGAAGGACAGAAAGATGACTTTCAAGGAACCTGCTCTCCATTGTTTGTTCATGTTCAAAACACAACTGAGAAGATTCTGGAAACTGCTTTACTTTACATCTGGTTCTCAAGAAATGAAACGAGACCAGGTCCCACCAGCCTTCCTTATCACAGATTCACCTACCCACTGTTTTGACAGCAATGGGAAAAGAATAGGAGACTGCTCTGCTTGCCCAAAGTCTGATGGTCATTCCCCTATTCTGATCTGAATTTGGCCCATTGGCCCATATTTAGTTAGTTTCCACACTAATCCAGTTAAATATTACACCCCATTGTTTCTATCACTATTTCTATGAAAAATAACATAGGATTTGCAATTAAGATAATGTTCTGCTTAATTATTAATTGGCTCAGCAACCATTTCCAAGGGAACTCTGATTAAAGAAGTATAAGAACTCTTAACCTTTAGGAAACAGGCAGTTTGGCCCTTCATGGAGCCAATCTGCCCTCCAAGGGCATGTCCAGATGAGCAGGAACATTTGTATCCCTGGCGACAAGTAGCAACAGCACTCCTTATACCTCTGCTACTTGTCCCTGGAGAACACCTATACCATACACACTCTGGCATGTGGCAAGTTACCCCAAAAGCCTTACCTGGTATCCTGGGGGCCTCTGGGAGCTATAACAATGGCAGGAAGCCTGGCCAGCAGCTGGACTGTGGCTCCAGTCAGCCAGGCTTTGATTTTGGGTGGTATACACTACTGCTACATGTGCTGCCCTGCTTTTTTTTGGCAATGGTCAAAAAAACTCAAAAAAACCCTGTACTGCAAAGCAGCAGCGTGAGGAGTGCCTGCATGTGTGGTGTGTGGCACTGCAGACAAGTCTGTGCACCACACACCCATGCTCATCTGGATGCTCCCAGATATCTAAGCTGAGCTTCTTTTGAATTCAATGACAATTCCAAACTATACCATTATCTGAGAGCTGAAGTCATTATGGCATTAGGGCACAATTAAAGAATCTTTTAACATTTGCTGAATTACCTATGTTCCCCCAGTAAGTGCTTTTCTGTACAGATAAATTTAAAACCAAATTTAGCTGTCAGCTAATTTGTGAAAATCCAGAACAAATCCCCTTCCTTCAACAGAGTAGTTCTGACAATGTTTCCAGTATACATGAGAACTGAATTTGACCCTTATAGTGTTTATGCACAGTTGCCCTTGTTATGATGAGAATAGCAGTAGTGTGATTGCCACTATTTTGAATTATTTTATTGGTGGTCTGGTTTGTTGACTATTAAGAAGGGGCCACATCTGGTCAAGTGTGCATTCAGTCAGTTAAGGGCTTCTAGTCCCAAATGTGTATTCCAAAATTCAGACACTATACTGACCAGATTTAAAATAAAATAAAGAAACATTCTTTTCTTTCTTTTTTTTTTCTTATAGACACTGGATGTGCAGAATTAAACACCATATACCTCCCTGAAGCTGTTTCTTTCTCATACCATCTGGTAATGGGAGTATCATTTATACCACATAAAACTACGACATCTGGAAAGGAAAGGCCAGTCTGATAAGATCACACACAAAAACATGACAAACCATCTTTTAACCAACCTTTCTACTTTTTCAAATTGTTGGAGACTAAATTAGTGAATATTTGTTGTTAACAAGAGCTTAAAGGTGGATGGGAGAAATGTGCAAAAAGTTTAGTTTTTTCCTGCATGTGGAAAATGTTTAAGATAAAAACCAGGATGATGATGAACCCCATGAAAAAATAACTTTATAAATAACTGACACAAAAGTAAATTCAGTGAAGTATAGAATGGAATGATATTGCACAGTAGGCACATCTACATGTGCAGATGCTCTGGGTTGGGTTCATTATAGAGTAATTTAGTGTAGAGTAAAACCCCAGGTAGGTGTCTACACATGCAGAGAATCAGAATCAGACTTGCTGCTCATGGCAGCAATCTGCTCCTGCCCCCTTTAGCCCTGCAGCAGCCAGGGGGATCTCTAGGCTTCCTTCCAGTGCTAGCCCAAAGTCTAGCAGGGAGCATAGGGCCAGGATACAACAGTCTTCTGGCAGGGGTTGGCAGATTGCTCCCTCCCCCTGGGAGCTGCCTGTTGCTGCGGTGGCCCCTGCCACTGGAGCCTGGTTGGGGACAATGTCCCACTGCTGCAGAAGCAGGGAGCTCCCAGCCCCAGCTCCCCAGCTGAGGGCAGGGGGCTTGGAAAGAGCTGGAGTGGAGAGGTAGCTCCCAGCCCCCTGCCCCAATCTGCTAGCAGGGTAGCTAGCAGCAAGCCCCTTCCTGGACTGGGATTCCCCAAGACTGCGGAGTGGGGTCTAGGAGTGAGCTCCTTGCTGCTGGGGCAGGGGACATTGTCCCCATCCAGGCTCTGGTGGCAGAGCCCACTCAGGCAGAAGGCAGCTCACTGGAGCAGCCTCCTGACCCCTGCTGTGTCCAGGAGCAAATTTGCCTCTGGTTAGCTATCTACACATGACGTACTGTGCAGTAAGTATTCATGAATAAATTTGCTACTTCTATTTAAAGGTAGCAAATTTACTCTTGATTAGAGGAAATAACTGTGCAGTAAGCATTTTGCAGTAAGCTAGACGGTATGCAGTAATTTAATCTCAAAGTGTCTCATGTAGATGTGTCCAATGTTCAGGAAAAGAAAGAAAATAGTATGCCCCAATTTAAAGATTAATCAGAGGCTTTTTAGTGTGCTTTGATGTTAGAATTGAAATAACTGAGGCTTTTAACTTTAATGATATCTTTTAAGCGACTTCAAGAGGGCTAGCAGACTAGATCAGGAGGTGAGATGCGATTCTCTTTAGCTCTTGCTTGGGAGGAGCTTCCTTCTCCATCTGTGTCAGGTCTTCTGGTCAGCACTGAGTGAGCAGGCTGACTTGGATCCAGGAATAAAGCCCTCTAAGACAGAAAACAAAAGTAAACCAAAGATAAGGGCAGACGACTATAAGATAAAAATGCAACCAAAAAGCAGGATTATAATTCTTCAGACTGAAGGGATCTTACACATGGAAACAGGTGAGTATTGGGAAAAAAAACCTGTTTACTGGAAAAAGAAATGTTTACAACTAAACTAGAGGTAGGAGCTACTATTTCTGTTTGTAGATTTTGGCCAGTCTTTCTACTGAGCTATGGACCCTCTCATCTAAAACTAGCCTCCCAAACCTCATCACTGCTGCTGCAGAGAGAACGAATATGTTCCCATTTGTATAGGAAGTGTAAAATGACACCTTGTATTACCTTTCTTATACCTCACTTTTGGTTCTTTTCCAGCAGAAGGACTACACACAGAAGGATTTCTTCTTCTTTCTTCACTCCTGGGAATTTCAAATCATTTTATCTGGTTAATCAGGGTTATGTCTATACTGTTTACAGAGCATGTTCCAGCAAGCATATTCCCAACCATAACCCACCTGTCTACTTAACAGATGTTCCACATGTTCCAGATTCAGAAACATGCTGGTTAGACAACTATACAGTCATCATCAGTGGCAACACTGGAGACTGTGTTCTCAAGAAAGCTGTATATAGGGATGTCCCAAGAACCAGCGTATTTCCATATTTTGGGCCTGCAAGTATGAATGGGTGGGCAAGTTGTTCTGAAAAACATCTTAACCAAGACTCATGGCTTTTGTGCTATAGACATACCCAAATGGTCCTTGCAGATACAAATCTCCTTCAGATACATATCTCTGCTTTATTGTCTCAATTTCTGGTATATCTTGTATACAATGAGGTACCATAAAATTGCACACTTTTCCACACTATTGTCATAGAATTGCACAGTTGATAAGCCAAATATGGCTTCATCTTTCAACTGTAAGTCTTAGTATGATTTCCTTTCACACATTTGATATGTCTGTTTATACATTCAAATTTAGTTTGCTTTTTTTGCTTCTGAGCACTGTGCCAGAAATTTAGAGATAGAGGGCATTTATACATGTGCTCTGGGAGTGGGTGAGGCACTTTAATTAAAGTGTCTCTGAAAGCCACTCTAAAACTCCTAGTGTGTCTTATGTATCAGCATCCCCACACTTTAAAATGGTGGTGAGGGCACTTCATCTAAAGCTCACTCGAGGTTTCAGTGAAGTGCCCCCACTGCCATTTGGAAGCACAGGGATACTGATACATGAGACAGTGGAGGCTGCTGGAGAACAGGAATTACCATGCTCCAGCAGAGTCAAATAATCAAGTCTGCTCCAATGCTCTGTAATTATAGCACATTGGACCAGCCCCACTGCTTGTGTATAAACACCCCCACCATATCTTTCACTCAGTTTCTATACCTATTTAATAGAAAGTTCTGACAATCATTACCTTGCACAGAAATATTTAAGTCACCAATTGGTGCTTCAACTCCATTTCAGTCCTTTTGAATGTGGTTACTTGAGTCCCAATTCTGTAAAAATGCAGACACATGAGTAATTTAACTCCTTTATATTAATGAAATTACTTTAATGAATCAAGTTGCACGTGAGCTAGATCCACAGAAGGACTTACATGCTTAAATGTATCATTCAGGTGGAACACATATGCACAAATCCATGTCTAACTGTAGATATTTTCACATTTATGATTATGAAATCCTAGTGCCAGAGAGTTCAACACACCAGCTTATGCTCAAGTCCCAGAAGAATTCTTAAACAAGATGTCATTCTGAATGTCTCACTTGTGGGGTCCAAGCTCTCCCCAAAGTATTTCCCTGCCCATCTGTTGTGTGAAGGGCTCAGTATTTAGGGTTAATTGAATTTATTTGGGGTTAATTAACTTTTGGACTCCATATTCAGGATTAATTAACTTTTGGTCAATTATTTAGGGTTTAATTGTAACTTTACATTTTTTCTAATGTTTTTTTTTTCCACAAAGGCAGAGCAGACGCCTGATTGTGATTTACAGATATTTCCTCTTGTGAAAGTCTAAGGCTTTCTGTAGGAACGTACATAATCCTGCCACTCAGATCCTGCTCATCCTCTTTTGTTCTTGCCCACCGTGCCTTTGATGTTAAAAGAAAATCCAAAGGGAAAAGTGAATATTGGGAAGCAAATTGTTGTTTCTTAACACAATTCCTCCAGCTATCTAATCTCATCACAGAGCTCCTCCATCGCCAAACCCTGCCCTCACCACACCAGCTGTTTAAGGGCACAATTTCTGAATTATCATCCGTGTTTAGTGCATCAGCAGGGACCTGATCTATGATCATGCCACTTAAACTAAACCACATGGTCATAAATCAGGTCTTAGGAATGCCTGCATGTGGCCAAAGACACTTGAAGAAGAAGGGTTCTGCTCTCAAAAGTGCATGGAGAAGATGGTGTATTTTATTCAACAGGGGCTGATATTTTCAGCGTGTCCAGATTCACTGGTATGTTACTTGGACTGTGAATACAGACAGACAGATATGTCCTCAGTAAAGAGCAGAAGGTGCACACTCCTGCGTGAAATGGTTCTGTTTCTTTTGCTTACTTCTGTAGATAGCTCGCCCTTTTCCTGCCTACGTGGTATATTCTAGGATTTGGAGTGAACAGTGAGCAAAACTGATTCTAAATAACTAAAATCATTGATTTCTCAATAGTACAGCTGTAATGAGTAGGACTATATGTTACATATACAACATTCATTTTTTCTTTATTTCATTGCATTATATATTTCACTTGATTTTATGAAATATGAAAGTTATTGATTCCTGCTTAGACATATTTTATTAGGGTTACCTCACAACCACCTTCAAGGTACTCTCTAAGATTTCAAGTTTTATTAACAATGAAAACTAATTTCACTGAATAATCAAAGATGATTTAGTCACTGTGTAGCTTTCCATACATCTGTTAAAATTATTTAAAAGCAAAAATATTTCCTCTGCTTGGAAAAATATATTGCTGAGACCAGTTTGCATAAAGGTTTTCAAGTGAGTCGCTTAAATAAAGAGCTACAATTGGCTTTTTGCCAAATACATTTTCCCTAGAGCTCCTAAAACTATATATAAACTAAACTAATATATATATATGTATATAAGCAGATGAATCATATAATCTTTCTGAAAAGGAACTAATTCATAACCATATTTAGTAAAC